AGCCCCCTGGGGAGTCAGCCCCACCATTTGTACAATTTTTAATCACCATCACCTAGGGATGCTTCCAGTCAAATATGGTTGATATCCACTTCTTAGTTCCAGAGAAGAAGTCACTTAAAGCAGTATAGCCAAATACCCTTTTTGGCCCTGCCCCTCAGCCCCCTGGGGGGTCAGCCACACCATTTGTACAATTTTAATTCCCTGCCTCCCAGGAATGCTTTTGATCAAATATGATTGATATCCAGTGCACTGTTCTACAGAAGAAGTCGTTTGTAGCAATATAGCCAAATTGCCCCCTTTTGGCCCTGCCGCTAAGCCCCCTGGGGAATCAGCCCCACCATTTGTACAATTTTTAATCACCACCTCCTAGGGATGCTTCCAGTCAAATATGGTTGATATCCATTTCTCAGTTTCAGAGAAGTCGCTTAAAGCAATATGGGCAAATTGACCCCTTTTGGCCCCGGCCCTCAGCCCCACCATTTGTACAATTTTGAATCCCCACCACCTAGGGATGCTTCCAGTCAAATTTAGTTTAATTCCAACCAGTGGTTAAGAAGAAGAAGTCGTTTAAAGAAATTGTTGGTGTACGGACGGACGGACGATGGACGCCACGGTATGGCATAAGCTCACCTTGGTCCTTCGGACCAGGTGAGCTAATAAATGACTAAATATACAGGTTTCTGTTGACTTGAATGTGTAGTTCACAATTAAGTTATATAAACATGCCCTTTGTTTTTCATTAACCTTTTCACCACTGCAGACCAAAATGTATTAATCAAGATACATGTATGGCAGAGTTTACTTTAGTTATGTAGGTGTCAAAGGGTTAACAACCACGACAGCTACATAACAGGATCAGTTTTAATGTGAAAAAGAATCAAATTGGCCACAATTACAATCTTTTCAGGGAGCAGAAAAATATAAATTTCTTTCCCCTAGCCATACTTGATTACATTATCTAGCCAGGTAGTCTTCTGGGTTTTTTTTCTGTATTAGAAAATAACTTTTTTACAGCAGAGATCAGAGCCAAAATCTTATCATGGGAGTTGCATGCACTGAATCCAGGTCTGAGGTCTTGGGATCATCTCCTGACCAATGAGAAAACCTCAAAAGTAGAAAATAACCCCTGACCCCTACACGGTGCTGTGCTGCCATGGTTACAGTGAAAATTTCCTCAGTGAATGGATTATGGATATTTTCATCATTTCAATACTACATAACATTGCCTATTTACATGAATATGTTATCATTTAGAAGACTTGTAATTTATTTATAGAATGCAATGAATAATAATTTTATCTATCTGTAAAGATCACATTTTCAAATAATACAATAGTGTTAATAATTGTAGTTCACAATTAAGTAATATAAACATGCCCTTTGTTTTTCATTAACCTTTTCACCACTGCAGAACATGTACATCATGTATTAATCCAGATCAATGCATGGCCGTGTTTATACAAGTAGCATAGGTGCCAAACGGTTTACGACCACGACAGCTATATAACAGGATCAGTTTTAATGTGAAAAAGAATCAAATTGGCCACAATTACAATCTTTTCAGGGAGCAGAAAAATATAAATTTCTTTCCCCTAGTCATACTTGATTACATTATCTAGCCAGGTAGTCTTCTGGGTTTTTTTTCTGTATTAGAAAATAACTTTTTTACAGCAGAGATCAGAGCCAAAATCTTATCATGGGAGTTGCACTGAATCCAGGTCTGAGGTCTTGGGATCATCTCCTGACCAATGAGAAAACCTCAAAAGTAGAAAATAACCCCTGACCCCTTCACGGTGCTGTGCTGCCATGGTTACAGTGAAAATTTCCTCAGTGAATGGATTATGGATATTTTCATCATTTCAATACTACATAACATTGCCTATTTACATGAATATGTTATCATTTAGAAGACTTGTAATTTATTTATAGAATGCAATGAATAATAATTTTATCTATCTGTAAAGATCACATTTTCAAATAATACAATAGTGTTAATAATTGTAGTTCACAATTAAGTAATATAAACATGCCCTTTGTTTTTCATTAACCTTTTCACCACTGCAGAACATGTACATCATGTATTAATCCAGATCAATGCATGGCCGTGTTTATACAAGTAGCATAGGTGCCAAACGGTTTACGACCACGACAGCTATATAACAGGATCAGTTTTAATGTGAAAAAGAATCAAATTGGCCACAATTACAATCTTTTCAGGGAGCAGAAAAATATAAATTTCTTTCCCCTAGTCATACTTGATTACATTATCTAGCCAGGTAGTCTTCTGGGTTTTTTTTCTGTATTAGAAAATAACTTTTTTACAGCAGAGATCAGAGCCAAAATCTTATCATGGGAGTTGCACTGAATCCAGGTCTGAGGTCTTGGGATCATCTCCTGACCAATGAGAAAACCTCAAAAGTAGAAAATAACCCCTGACCCCTTCACGGTGCTGTGCTGCCATGGTTACAGTGAAAATTTCCTCAGTGAATGGATTATGGATATTTTCATCATTTCAATACTACATAACATTGCCTATTTACATGAATATGTTATCATTTAGAAGACTTGTAATTTATTTATAGAATGCAATGAATAATAATTTTATCTATCTGTAAAGATCACATTTTCAAATAATACAATAGTGTTAATAATTGTAGTTCACAATTAAGGTGGCTCGACACATCGTCATCAGCGTCCATTTTCGTGACATACTTCCGGAAAAAGTACAGCTAGGACTCAATTATCTTAATCGAAATGTGCATGTACACTGTGTCGTCATTTCCGTATTGCGTATATCGTAGTGCAAATTATAGTAACACCTGCTGGGCCGTTTTCGATTAAACGGTCAAACCGATCGGACCACTGTTGTTCGTTTATTACATAAGGTCGAACCTAGTAATCTGATGCTGCTTTCAGGCGAGTCTTGAGAAAGCCTTGCAAGGCCTGCATACACATTTGCAGGTCCGTCAGGATTTACACCCGAAATTGTTACATTTATAAACGGTCAAACCGGTTGTTCCGCATAAACGAACAGGCCCATGGTAAACAATAGTACACGTGCGTGCCGATGATATGTCAACACCCGATATCAAGATTTTACCGGGAAATGTATACTCACACGTACTTCAGGAATAAAGCTTTCCAATTCATAGACATAAACAGACTCACGGGAAGACAGTGACATGAGACCAGACGACCTCAAGAAGGTCATATAGGAAACACATGGAATGCGGACGTACCAACCTCACATGTGCATATCGCGTGTTTACACGAGTTCATAAGCTCGAGGTCGTTACGATTTTCGCTGTTGAGGGAGTTTCGCTCTGTCGATTAAATCGTGTTTACAAATGTAGTCTACTAGCTTACTCTGTGAAAATAATGTTTTGTAAAATATCAAGATACCTATGAAATGCATGTGTGAGTGCACGTGAGAACGGTATACCATGCGATAGCCTCTGGTCTGACATGTAATTATAAATATACCGTGAGTTAGCGGACTGTGGAATGATGTCCAAAGTGTACATGACTGAGGGTAATTTGGTTCCATTAAAGAACAATAAATTGATAATTTTGATATCATATTTTTGATTTATTTCCATCATTTTTGTTATATGTAAACAGAGACAACTGTCATTGTGTAAATGTCACCCCTCTGCAAAAAGTTCCGATTTTTTTCAAGGAAGATAACTCTCACCCGGATCAAAGTGATTGTAAAATGTAAAATAAATTAATTATAAAGCCATTGTGTATATTTTGTTCAATTTCCCACTCTATATGTATAGAACTTTGTGTCCTGGGTGCTTTTAGCTTGTAGATAATCACTTTTATCCGTACAAATTCAATAAAAAACACTTTGTGTAACATGTGTTACATATTTTGCGATAAATAAAATATTTGTAGGGTTAATTAGAAATGCTTCTTTTCATTTTATTATTGTTGTTATTGTTCCGAACAATGCCACACNCCAATGAGAAAACCTCAACAGTAGAAAATAACCCCTGACCCCTACACGGTGCTGTGCTGCCATGGTTACAGTGAAAATTTCCTCAGTGAATGGATTATGGATATTTTCATCATTTCAATACTACATATCATTGCCTATATACATGAATGCATTATATTTTAGAAGACTTGTAATTTATTTATAGAACAATGCAATGAATAAATTCTTTTTATAATCAATTGTGCAGATAACATTTTTCAAAGAATACAATAGTGTTAAAAGTTAGAAATTTGCTTATTTTCAAAAGCTTCACGTAGGATTTCTGAATACAAGTTTACATAATATTTTAATATCAACCAAATAAATGACTAAATATACATGTTTCTGTTGACTTGAATGTGTAGTTCGCAATTAAGTAATATAAACATGCCCTATGTTTTTCATTAACCTTTTCACCACTGCAGAAAATCATGTATTAATCCAGATCAATGCATGGCCGTGTTTATACAAGTTACATAGGTGCCAAACGGTTTACAACCACGACAGCTACATAACAGGATCAGTTTTAATGTGAAAAAGAATCAAATTGGCCACAATTACAATCTTTTCAGGGAGCAGAAAAATATAAATTTCTTTCCCCTAGCCATACTTGATTACATTATCTAGCCAGGTAGTCTTCTGTGTTTTTTTCTTTATTAGAAAATAACAATTTTACAGCAGAGATCAGAGCCAAAATCTTATCATGGGAGTTGCACTGAATCCAGGTCAGAGGTCTTGGGATCATCTCCTGACCAATGAGAAAACCTCAACAGTAGAAAATAACCCCTGACCCCTACACGGTGCTGTGCTGCCATGGTTACAGTGAAAATTTCCTCAGTGAATGGATTATGGTTATTTTCATCATTTCAATACTACATATCAATGCCTATTTACATGAATATGCTATCATTTAAGAGACTTATAATTATCTATATTACCACACAATGAATAATCATTTTATCTAGTTGTAAAGATCATATTTTTCAAAGAATACCATAGTGTAAATGGTGAGAAATTAACAATGCTTTTGCTTATTTTCAAAGGCTACAGGTTTCTGAAGAAAAGTTTACATATATATCTTTGTAGATTTCCCCTGTATACGTTAATTTTTCCTGTTTTCAGTTTTGATATTTTATTCTGAGATTCAATTTGCTTCAACTGAAGAAAACATGCTTATAGAAACAAGAAACCTCAGTTTGAAAGCCGAACATTGTCAAACACAGTGGTTTTGATCAAAAGTTTACACAAGATGTTTTTACTTAATCCAAAAGATAAGTGTAAAGAAAATAACAAACTTACACCGAACTCATGAACAATGGTGGGTGACTGAATAACAAGATCCCCTGGGATCTATTGGTTTTTTTTATGTCTATAGATTAAATAGATAGGTGGCTCAGACATCCAAGGAAGGTAATTGGAACATCATTGAGCGGTGCTGCCCATCTGTGGAAACCGCGAATGATGGGAAATGGAGTTTCATCATTGCTACTTGATCTCAACATCTTATTTTTTTGTTTAAAGTAACCAATTGAAAATTATATATTTCCAATGTCACAAGCATAAGTATCCGATTCTTCTAATCCTACTTATCCGACATTATTAAAGTTTAGGGACACCAAGTACTGTTTCCTTAAATAGTGATTAATCATTTACAATAGGAAGATGATTAATGATGGGTCCACCATGTAAAGTTGATGTCATTTTCACATTATAAGTCAAAGTTTGGAATGAGTCAGTTGCAAAATACATTATTTACAGCGTTTTCTTATTTTATTTTTGCACATTTTTTTATTTATTTTTTGTTAAGATTTATTATGAACAAATTATCATTAGGTTTTGTAAAACTTGGAAGCAGAACATGAAATGGAATCAAGTGTTATTTTTAAATCCTTCCTCTATGGACATTAGAACCATGCATTGATTTTATGATTAAATATTTCAGTTCCTCCTGTAGTTACTAACAACATCTATCAACTTCACAATCTATGCAAGTGTAATGAGTGGCTCAGACATCCAAGGAAGGTAATTGGAACATCATAGAGCGGTGCTGCCCTTCTGTGGAAACCGCGAATGATGGGAAATGGAGTTTCATCATTGCCACTCACATCGAATTCAAATTTTAGTTATTTCCTATCACCAACAAATCCAACATAATCAACCGTGAACCTCTTATTTGATATCTGAATCTTCCTACCCTTCCCTCCAGTGCAATTGATTTTTGAGCAATAAAAAAGATGGATTAATATTTCTTTTCTGAAATTTTGCTGAAGACAAGCAAGAAGGATTTTAACAGCTGGACACATAGCATCTTATGCAAAAAACAATACTATATTTGAACAAGATTGGAGTTATCCACCTTGGATTTAGTTACAATTTTTACACACCTCTTCTTCACCGTCGAAATCTTCTTCAAGTTCTTCATCATCCAAATCATCTATAAACAAAAGCAAGTAATAATTGACAAATATTTCAAGAGGATATCATTTTTGTTCATGAGGATACTGTGAAAATGTATTAAACTACAGTCAAAGACTGTAAAAGTGGATCAGAGCTAGTTGAGTACATAACTAGAGAACATGCCTCAATCATAAACTTCTCAGAGAGGGCAAGTTCAATCATCATCTCCAACATGATCCAAGTTAGGACAAAGATCAAATGTAATGCAAGCATACTTTAGTGAACCAGATGCTTAAATAAATATTTTGTACCCCCGTATACTACATAAAACATATGGGACCTACCATTATCCTTCTGTCTTTTGTTTGAAATGCATGAAATGTTCCAAAGCATATCAAGACTTTAACAAGAGGCCCTTTGGGCCTTAACGGTCACCTGAGTTATTTATGTAAAAACTGATGTTATCGATGTTGCCAAATGAAAAAGAAATCATTTTGTAACAAAGGTAACTAGAACTACATGTAATGCAAAAGTAGTGTGAAAGATCTTGGTAGTATATGTACTATGGAGCACCTTAAGAACCTTCCATCTATGAAGAGTATTTGATCCTACCATATCTTGGTCTTGAGAAGAAGATTTTTGAAATTTCAGTCAATTCAACCCTTATTGGCCCCACCCCTCAGCCCCTGGGGGTCAGTCAGGGCCGATTTGTGCATATCGTCAAACTGCTATCCAATACCGATAATGCTAACCAAGTAAGTTTGAATTAATTCAAATGGAAACTAGAACACTGACAGGTCAGTAAGGGCCCCGTCTTGTGGCAATATATCCCCCATAATCATCAAGAAGCGATCTGCCCATTTAGCTGAGCTTGACGTTTGGACTTCAAAAAGAATCGCAAGTAAGCAAAATATACATTTTACATGTACTATGATGTGAGTCTAGTTTCCTTCCACCTCCATATATGCTGGACTAACAGAAATGTAAATACCAGTGCAACACTCATTTGTTAGCTTTTATTTGTTTTATTTCACCTTATATACCTCCTCCAGCAAGAGCCAGGGTCAAAGTCAGAGATCCACTTTGTCTTTGACCTTTGGACCCAAATGACCTTGACCATTAACCCAGTGACCCTGATCTTTGGTCAGTTGACTTATTCTTCAATTAAGACCAACTTTACTTCTTAATATCATAACAAAATGTTCATCAGTGAAGAATACAAAACTTGACCTTGACCCTTTGGACCCTGTGACCTGGACGTAAGGTCAGTTGACTCTGTGTTAAGTTCTGAACAACATTGCTTCATGATGTCATTACAAAATGTTCATCAGGGAAAAGGTACAAAATTTAACCTTCACCTTTGACCCAGTGACCTTCACCTTTGGTCAATTGACTCATTGTTCAATTCTGAGCAACATTGCTTCAATATGTCATAACAAAATGTTCATCAGTGAAAAGATATAAAATTTGACCTTGACCTTTGAACCCAATGACCTTGACCTTTGACCTTGACTTTTTACATCAATGTATATTTTTGTGAACTGAACATGCTGACCAAGTTTCATGTACATCGGTCCATAGATACTAAAGTTATCGGCCAGGAACAAAATTTGTGGACAGACAGACAGACCGAGTGATTACCATAGGGCACCCGTATCTCTGATACGGGGCCCTAATTAAACAAATGCTGGTCCAAAATGTGATTTCCCTATATAAACTATAGTCAAGTTTACCCCCTCCCCAGGGGGAAACGCAAGACCCACTGGTGATGAAATTCACAATTTTGGTAAAGCACCTTAAGACCCTTCCATAAATGAAGAGTATTTGATTTTACCACATCTGGATCTTGAGAAGATTTTTGAAGTTTCAGTTAATTCAACCATTTTTGGCCCCGCCCCTCATGATCAGGCCCCTTTGGCAATGGAAGGTTTCTGCAAAATTTCATTGAAATTGGTTCAGGGGTTTTGGAGAAGAAGTCGAAAATGTAAATTGTTTACGGACGCTTGATGGACGACTAACAACGCCTGACAAAAGGCGATCGCAATAGGTCACTTGAGACTTTGTCTCGGGTGACCTAAAAACATGCCAAATTTTCAGTTTCCTTTCGGACAAAGGGTCTCTCTTATTAATTAACTTACCTCCACCTTCCTCTTCCATTTCTGACGCCTACAAAAGTTAACAAAACAAGTTCAGTGTTTGATAACACATGTGTTGACAATTTAATTTACGTTTTTTCCCTCATTAGTATTATTAACATTGACAATCTCACCGAGAAGTGCTTTCTAAATTCTACAGAACCAAAGAATATCTATTACCATCGGTTGTTTCAAATTAAACCCCAATAATGAAACAAAAACTCCAGACTTTTTTGGCCAAGCGTCAGAGTTTTCCCTGCCTCTCTGTGGTTATAAACTATCATATGTTTGTTATCTATCATACCAAGTAGTATTGTAGGGGGTTCGGCCAGATATCATCCTTCAACACCTCTCCAAGCTCATCAGCACCAGCATCCCCATGGTCTGTAAACCAACAAAAGAAGGATTCCTGCTCCTCTATATTCCTCTTACGCCCTCCCTTACTTGGGGTACATGACTTCTTTGTTAGATCCTACAATATCAAGTATGCATACATATATTAAAGGTTCAAAACATTTCAGATCAAACCATCAACTGTAAGCCTTATGAGAAATGAAAACAAGGTAGACTTTGATATTTCTTGTACATGTTCTGCCACTCCAAACTCTAACTGCACTTTTAACATCTCGACATAAATAATACAATGACAGCAGCCAATCATGATGCAAAATATAAAGTAACTGTAACTAAACTTTCTACAACTGATTTTTTTCTCCATTAGATGTATCTTTTTTAATTCTTTAAATCTTGAGTTACTTTAAATCAAAGAATTAAATGCTAACATTTCTCGTCATAGTGAATAGAAAATATTAATGTGTTGTCTTCCCATCAAAGCACATGTGTTTCAACAGCAATATTGGGAAAACCCAACACGCAAGACAAACAGGCGAACTACAATTATTAAACTTTTGGTACTTGCCATCTTCACCAGTACATACCAGTTTAATACAGTTTGATGACCAACCATTTAGACAGGACCCTAGTGCATTTGTTCAGGTAGCAAACAATTAACAGAAATAAAGCTAAATATTGATGGGAACGTGACTCAATTTTCCAACATTTTATTTAATTATCAAAAAAGAGAAAAAGGAAAACCCAAACAAGTTTGATTTTGCACTTAACACTGTAACCATTTACAATCAGACAGGGGTTCTGAAAGGCTCAGCAGCACAACAAGTCTTACTTTTCCTGCTTTCCATTTGATGGGTGTTGATTTTGATGAGGGTTCTCCAGTGTCATTTAGATGGAACTCTTTCGATATGACTTCATTCTCAAAGTACAGGTTACCTTCAAAGAACTGCAAATGAACAGGTTAAAAATACATTCTACCTCTCTGGACTACTTTTAAGAACACTAAGCGTAATTTCTTCAACACATTCTGAAATCTTTTTCATTGACAAGTACTGTTCTTAAGTTAAACAGGATACCAACAAGTCAATTGTATTATTCCTTCTTTTCGTATTGCAGAGTTATCTGCTCTTGTGAGCAGGTATTGATTGTTACGTCATTTGTTTGCGAGAGTAACGTCATCAATTTTTGAGAAAATGGCGTAATTTTCTCACACAAACCAATGACGTAACAACCATTACCTGCTACCTAAGAGAAAATAACTCTGCAATACGCAAAGATGGAATAATCATTTTCACTAATGTGAAATATTTTTTTAAATCCTAATTGTAAGTTGACTTATTGCTCATGGGCTTATTTCTTTACCGAAACCATTGGCTTTCACATTTTTCTCCAATTTCTACAACAATGACATAATAATAATACCTAAAACTAGACCTATTTAGTTGTTAGGCAACTACAGTAGCTATATTTATGTATAGCATGGTGTTCAGTCAAACAGTGTTGGTCATGGTAAGGGAATTGTCATTTAATGCAAATTAGGCAAAAATAGTTATTCAGATTGGACTCAACTCTTTGCGAGATCTTGAGTAATCGGGTGCAATAATTATAACAGCATATACCTTTCTCATTATCTCAAAATCTACCATGTTCTTACTTACAAAGTTGATTTTGTAGCCTGACTTGATGTCTTCAAACTCTTGAACTTCAACCTTAGACAGGAATTGGAGTGCCTCCTCATCCTCTTCATGTAACAGAGCTGATACTTGAGGATGATTTACAAACTATCATTTAGTTAAGGAAACATTCAAATTCAAATCAAACTTTTGATAAATAATTACTTTATATTTCTATTTTACAACTTCAATAATATAAGTTATATAACTCACTTAGAAACAACATAACATTCTTTTTATTCAAAAGATAAAATAAAAGGATACAACAGTGACCCAGAAATTAGGAATTTTTGCGATCAAGTCCGACCTCTTCTGGAAGTATGGCTGCCTTAATTTGTTGTATTTTTGTTCAACTTTAAGTATCTCTTCACTCGCTTGTTCATTTAAACGATCAATTTCATTCTGGACTTCATCTATTTGCTCAATTGCCTCCTGTTGTTCTTTATCTGAAGAGAAAAAAAATTAACCATACAACATTTTTAATTATATAAATATATAACAAGAGTACCGCGGGGAGGAACAATATACGCCCGTTGAATGCCATAAAGTGTTATATACTTTATTACATTGAAATAAGATCTACATCATTCTAAGAGTGGTTAGCTGAAATGCTATAAAAAATGTAGGAGAAAATATCAAGACGAAATGAACAAAGGGCAATAACTTTTGCAAAAATCGTTGAATCAAAATTCCTTTTTAAGGGAGACACAACTTTATATCATGATTATAATGTATATCAAGTTTCAAAGAGATCCGTTGGAAAATGTTGGAGGAGATTGCCAGACAAAAATCAAATACTGAAATAAACAAAGGGCAATAACTTTTGCAAAAATTGTTGAATCACTATTTTTTTCAAGGAAACAAAACAACATATCATGATTTAGCCTACTAAGTTTCAAAGAAATCCATTAAAAAATGTAGGAGATTTCCAGACAAAAAATCAAATACTGAAATGAATAAAGGGCAATAACTTTTGGAAAAATTGTCGAATCAAAAGGGGGACACAACTTCATATCATGATTATAATGTATACCAAGTTTCAAAGAGATCGATTAAAAACATTAGGAGATTGCCGGACAAACAAAAGTTTACGCCCGACGGACAACCCCATACCATTATACTTCCGTCAAATTTGACGGGCGTATAAAAAGCAGAACAGTGCCCAGTGTTCACATTAAACAGCTTCAACCATCAGAAGATAATGAAACTTATTCACTTGTTAACTATTTGGTAACCATTTCTGGATGAATTATCATTGTTAATTTAACAAAACAAATAAAGTTTTCTTTGTCCTGACTGTGTTCTTGCATATATCCTTATTAAACTGACCTTGGAATTTATTGCATTGTTATTCCTTGAATACACCATATTCATATATTTATTCTGAATTTTCATCTTCTTAGTATTAATTCTATCGATCGTCAAACTGGTGTCAAATTTGGCACATGTATTTCACTTTTTTATCACACCAGGGCTTGATTGTGATACAGACCCTACGATGAAATTGGAATAAATCATTGATATAATAGCCATTTGGGGAAATTTGGATAATCATAACAACTCTTGAATACTTGAAAAATATATTGTGTACCTTTTATTTCAGCCTGTCTTTATGACGCAGACAACATGATTATTTTGTCCTTTCTACATATGCTGCATTTTCAGAACAACATCAATCATTAGGAATTTATTTAAATAAATGCTTTTTATTTGTTTAGATTTACAAATTTAAATAGGGAATTTTAAAGGGACAAAATTGGGAAAAAAATCACACTTTTTTTCAATTGGGAATGGGTTTTTTAAACAGACTTAAGGGTACTCTGATAAACCCTGGCACTACTTACATATCTATATAATAAATGATAATAATAAAATTATTTTATTAAAATGTCGCATATTATTTCACAGTAAAACAAATACAATATAAAAACCATTAACAGGAATTAATATCCAGCCAAATGCTGACCTACGAGACACTAATAAAACATATGATACATATCATTTCATCGTAAAAAAAACCCGTAACCTAAAATACTCATAAAAAGACATTACTTTAGTGTTCCATCAGGGTTCTCCCCAGATTAATGAAACCTTATTAAATTTAGGGGGGGGGGTTAATATTATGTTTAATTAGGTACAACTTTAAAGCCAAAGAAATAAATACTTGCTCTTTTTGCATGAATTTTCCTTCTTTTTGTATGAATTTTCAGCAATATCATTGTTTTAAATATTCTAAAAATATATATATATATAGAAATGTGTATTAGTTTTGATGTAGATATGACATTTATTTCTTTAATATCTTTATATCTGTATCTCTTAGTTTTATCACTCAAAGAAGAAATATTTAAAAGCTGAAAAGAAAATGTTTAAATAAAATGTAGTGTTTTTATTTCCTCTTAAACTGTATTACATACTGCTGTCAGTAAATTTGATCCAAGATTAAAACAGTATTGGGCCCTTCTTCCTGTTGTTTCAATTAATCACCTATTGACCATGTTAAAAGGATCTGGACAACTTGTTGTCTGGTCCCCCTTCCTACTAATTACAGACCCCCTGTGGCCATAATGTACCTATCGTGAAACTGACCAGTGGGGTCATTGCTGGACTTTGGTCAGCCTTGTGATTTAATCATTGTCAATTTCTTGTGTAAAAATAGGGTACAAATAACAGGGTGACATGGTTCATAGTCTAAGGCGATACGGGTCAATGAAGCTGTATCAGGGAGGATTTCAACCTGAAGCTGATACGGAGCCGTATCAGCGAAATGGCCTGGGGAGAACCCTGTCCATTTATAAAACATTTAGTATTTCAGGATGATGGACATGTATCTGTACCACTGAAATTAGGCACATACTAAGTCTACTGGAACTAATCTCTCATTTATACAGGTGCAAGATCGAATGTCAGGAAAGTAATATTTTAACTTTGGATCATATAATATATAACATAAGTACTGTAACACTTGTCTGTCATTTGTGCATACTACTATTGATTTCCACTGGTTTTTAATTCTACTGTTTGTATGCACTGCTTTTATAAAACAGTAGAATAAAAAGCAAATGTGAATATGAGTTGCAAAGCTGTGAGATATCAAAGACATTTTTCCCCCTATCTAAATATTTCTTTATCAGGCGCAGCAACAAATTATTGATAATTAGAAGTGGACAATCAATATGAAACTGTCTTTTATGAGGGACACATCTCTTTAACATTGTCCAAGAGAATTACGATTTTTTCAGAATTATTTCTTTTGAGTTTTCCTGCGTTTGACAATTTCGTTTCTTGTCTTGTTCAACAAATAACTTTTCATCACTCACCAACAATATTCAACCAAGCAATAAACCGGAAGTTGGTTGCACGTGTAGTTGTGACGTCATTATTCGGCATCAATTTTAGAACCGCACCGGTTGATTTATACCTATTGCATTTCAATTTTTGTATTTATCCGATGGTAAAAAAGACCTCAAAAATATAAATATCGATTATGTGTTACATTTACAGCATAAGCAAAAGGCTGAGACTCCAAATTTACAGTGTAGCCCAATAAAGGGAACACAAATGAGCTCCCAAACAAAAGATTGGTTTGCACATGGCGGTCCATCCAGCATGTTGGACCATTGAAATGTTTCGAAATTCACCATTAATATAATAAAATAACGCTCATGGCATTTCAAACTAACAAAATATGTATGCATTTCGGAACAAAACTTTCACCTGCTTGTTCGTCGGCGTTTTCATGATTGTTTTTAGCGTCAGGCTTACTGACTTTCGCTGGAGTCGCCATTTCAGGAACACAGAGGCTGGGCATGCGCAGTGGAAATTGAAATAGCCCTGCGCGCGAAGGCCAATGTAAGTGATAAATAACTATTTGAACTATATTGTCTTTGTGTTATGTCATAAAACATTCGATTATAACCAAAGAATTTATAAAAAATATATATATATTTAAAAATCAATGGACTTTTATGCTTAAAAATAGTCAGAAAAGAATAGGTATTACAAAGGGAATACATTTGTATTGTTGACTGTTTGTGCCTTTCAATTTGAGTAGGTAGATATTTGTCACTATTTATACGAAACGCAAAATTGTACTCGATTTCTTATTCTGTGTTGTTAGCTTCTTTTGATATTTAATCTCGCACGAATCGTTTTTTAAATAACCATTGAAGAATATGTTTATGCTGATTCATTTCTCATTGTTCACTGGTAAAATAAAGCAAGCTGATGGACGAGTTATCTCCCTCCGCCCACTGCAGCGATTGGTGTGAGCCCCACCATCCAAGTGATGATAAGAAAAATGTCATCTACAGTTCGGTAAAGCCTCGAGGATGAATTATTGTTCAATATAACATCACGGGGTAGATTTTAGCGCGTTAGATTTGCATTTAACTCATTTTATTTCTGGAAAGTGATACCTTTCCTCGATTACAGCACACATAAACATACACTTATGTACCTATGCGTTCTAACATATATATGGCGTAAGTGGCCTAACGTCACTACCCAAATCAGGTCACTTTTTAGATAAATATCAATGTTCTTCATGCCATACTACCAGTTCCATGTTAATTTTTCATAAATAGATACTATCCACTTTTCATTTCTAATTCAAGTTGATATTTCGGGCGCGTGGTTCTATAAATAAAACGCGAAATGCCATCCGGGTTTCGTACGGATGCCTTTGAACCGGCGTAACTTTTACCTTATTTACATGTACTTTGCATTGAGTCACAGTTTCTTGGGCCGTTTTCCCATAAGTGTCTTGCTGTGGATACTGTCCCGATTTGGGTACAGTGACGGTAGTATTGTGTATTTCAGACATTTGTAACCGACCCCTGTGCTTGAGGCTTGTATCGATACTATCCAAAGCTTACTGGTAAACATCTCTGATTAAGATGATTCTACCATATGAGTCAGATCTATTGTTTTCAGAGATAGTCATCATACATTTATAAAACTGCATAAGCGAAAAACTTACAAAATAGATCCATCGCATGTGATAATATCCTAGACATTCCTCCCGCATTATACGCCATGCTTTGAGAAATTCGAAGTATTGCGCTTCGCAACTTTTATTGACTTTTGCAAGGGAGGCAACTTTATGTGAATTAGGTGTCAAGCAACAAAGTACGGCCTACCGGTTTTTTTTCTTTCTATCTATTTTTCATACCAGGCCTTATATAATGGCGTCCTTGAACTGTCAATAAGTTCAGAAAAAAATGATAAATATAGCACAACATTTCATATAATCTGATTAGGTTGAAATGTTTTGACGATTTTTAGGGGGGGGGGGGGGGGGGGGGGGGGGGAGGGAGACTCTAGATAAAACCCTTTTATCGAGAATCAAAACCAATTAACTATGACAATAAAGCAATATCAAAGATACAAGAAACTTTATTTAAAGTCGCGTACATGTGGACAAGAAACAATAGCTCATACATGCGAGCTTTTATTGCGACAAATACTAAAACATTCCACATGTAACGAGAGATTAAAACTGCTAACTATTCCCAATATAGATATAAATCCTATTGCAATCATCATCATCATTAAAAAGTATCCTATCCCATGAATCTAGGTGGTAGGGAATCCCCTTAAAGGGGCATCACGGTGAAGTAACTTTTTTTGTGTCTTTTTTTCAAATCCTACATAAACATATCAAGTGAGACTCCTTGTGAAAAATAACGATCGTATTTGGCTGAAATAGATTCATAAAAATGATTAAATCTAAGATAATCATCGGTATTTCTACCTGTCTGACCAACGTTTTGTTTCGGGATTTCCCTCTACTAGCGCATGCGCATAGCACACCATTCCTTTGTAAACAAAATGACTGGCCGTGTGAAGTAAGCGAAAGAAAAGTGTTGTACCGTGTCAGCTACGAAGCGAAAAGTTGCCAAATGGTCAAAAGATAGCGCAAGGGGTACGTTACGGAATCATTATTGCAGGTGGGAAGTATTCAAAGGAGAAAATAACTGCCCTAGCATTTAGTACGGTGCATGTATTCTTCCGGATAGCCGGTTAAGCTGTAATGGAATCGACAGAAATGCTAGCGCTGTCTATGTTATGAATAAATATCTAAAACTATTAACCTCGCTAGTATCATTGTGTGAGTTTGAACACAGACGAACTTAGTTTAATATGTTAATGGGCATGTATCGGAGAGAGTTTACTTTGTGTTTTTGCGAAAGGAAGGGATTAGTGACTGGTTAGTTTGATTTTGCCATGAAGCCCTCCAAACTAACTGTTTTGATGGCCACGGCGTATTCTGTTCTCTGATCCAGATACGTGTGCTATTAGATTTACATAATTTATAATATTACCGGGATCAGTAAAATAGTATGATTTAATTATATTGCTGAATTAAACGATTTTTGTTTTGTTTTGACATGCAAGATTTAAATTATTACTAATATGAATACCCGGCATCCTCTGGCGCGACAACGCAATATATAAAAAAAAAATCGCTCTTCGTCAGAAAGCTACGTTATCGCAGCTAGATTAAAAATGTCAAAATGACGGACCAGGATGAATAACTGAGGAAGGAGAACCAACATACTTCTAGTAAATAGGATCGCATAACATTTTGTTTTTAAATTGTAATTTTTCAACAGTTCATGTTTTCATATGATGTTGGCTTGGAATGTATGATCATGTAACAACCTTTTCTCTATAAAGAATAAATTTTCGACTTCAGATAGAATCGGAATACGTATTGAAAACAGGGGAAAAAATATTTGATTACGTTGTAAAAATGGCGCGTGCTGCCGATAACTACGGCTTCTGTTTCGGACAAAAGGAACTGATTAAAGAAAAGTTGTCTCAACATAAAAAGGTCCATTTACAAGTATGCTTTAATCTCTGTAAAGTATTGAAAAAAATATAATTATCGAGTATCTCAACATGTTCCTTATTGACACATATTCTACATGTACACGTAGTGGTTTTGCCATACAGTTTATTGTGTGTGATGGCTAATATGACTTACTAAGTGTTAGCGTATGGAGACAGTGAAAGTGGGAAAGAGAGTATACATACATCTATATGCATGGTCTAAAAAAAAAATATGCTAATATGGCATAGTGTAAAAATTAAAAGAATAAATACTATTATATCATGAATTAAGAAATTATGATTAAATAAATGGTATAAACGTGATATGTAAAATATATTTTAAGAATAATTTCAACGGAAAAAAGAAATGCTTCAGTACTATAAAATAGATGTTATACGCGGAGAGAAAACAAGAACATGCTGAGTCACCAAATGTCATTCGTTGCAGATATTTGAAAGGCGGGGCCATCCCGTGAGTGGACTAACCTCCTGAACACCTTGAAGTTTTCCAGTCTTCGGAAGAAATTGGATTAATAGAACCGAAACATCTCCGATCCGAGGGAGATTCATTTGGTTGTCCAACCCGAGACTCTGCCGAAGTTTAAAATAAACAACAAGATAATCTCAATGAGGGTTGGGGATTTCTCTGTTTCGTGTTCAAGGTATGATTTCTTTGCTCTCATCTTATTCTCTCTCGGCTAAAACGGGGAAATATAACTGTGAATGATGAGAGGAAGAGTGTTCCTCACCCGGGCGGCCTCAAAAGCAAACGTTTTTATATGTTACAGACTTCGTTCTATGAATAGAAAAGTGTTACAGACCTCGACCTATAAATAGAAAAGTGTTACAGACAGCTACTAAAATTAGGCCTAGGTAATTTCCTAGCCAGTCTGTAATTCTGTTACCAATCACACTACGGAATTCAACTACAAATGAATCATCTCATCAAATTCTGAACTATGTGAATATTGATGATGTCGATTGTGCAAATAATATTTACTTTAAACTAAATATCACATGAATTGAATCTGAAATTCATTTTTTGTGTATGTTATTTTGTATTTGAAGTCTTTTACTCTGTGATTCCTAAATGGTCCATGCCATCCATGTGTTTATGACTTGCAAAATTATTAATCTCATTGTAAAATGTCATATGATAAAACAATTGTGGACTTCAGTTTCGTTCTATCCCTGATTTACGGACCAGGTTCGTACATCAGGGATAGACCTCACCTGAAGTCCATAATTGTATAGAGTTTACCCTAGGCACCTCTGCAGTATTTTCTTTCCCGATAACATAACTTGACAACTAAATAGTTACATGGTTTTGGTTAAACCCAGGAGACATTTTGTTTATAATTTTGAAAACCTTACAACCCATATCCCTAGGCGCTTTACATGTAGCTTTTTGCTATTGGTTATACTAACTAAGTGCTGAAGCATGAGTTGTGATCATTATGGATGAACTTCAGTGCTCAATCTTGTATCTTTTCCATCTTTCTTTATACCGGGGTGATCATTGTATTAGGAGACAACTACATGTATACATGTGCGTAAATTGAAAATCTCGTTGGATTTTTATTTTAAGTCAGTACTCTGACACTTGCTGAAACTGAGAGCTAAGATAATTAGGACATTACTTCAAATGTCATTGCTATTATCGTTATATATGTATAAAATGTACACTGTACACATCAGCTGGTTTGGCTCGGAATCCTTTACAAATACGCGTACACCTCGAAATTGTTTGAGCAATTTCAAGGTGTACGTGTTTTAGTAAAGGATGCTGAAGCATATTTTGATATAATTATGATGATGCATGCAAACTTATTTGTCTTCAAACACCAGCATTCTTTAGAACATTTCATTAATCCAATTCTATTAAAATATTAACGTATAGTGGACCAATTTTTAAATCCAAAGATGAACCTTTTTGATGTTGAGTTCTTAAAAAATTCATGTAATCAATCGTTTCTTCGGTTTCACAG